GTTTTAAGTTTTTACATTATTTCGACTAGTAACCCAAATATTTACAATAAGAAACCTCTGAAGTGTAAGAGATACACGCACCGAAATTTCGCCGCGCAATTCCAATTTGTGCCTATGATAATCCTGTGTTGCTATAGCGATCAGTTCTTTGACAAAATAACCTTCTTTGACTGGAGAAATACCTAAACAACATTGAAAATGCGCTGCCGAATTACCAGCAGGTGTGGCGCTCGGCTTATTCTTGTTGGTAACGTCATAGATATCATCGTCAATAATAATTATGTAACTTCCGTCTTATTGCGTAGATTTTATTTTCTAAACCTTGTCTCGTTTCCTATTTATTAAAATATCATAACATCGATCTTATTGTATTATAGTTTAGAAACCTATAAGAAACGTATCGTTCATTATTATCCATGTCGCATAATCATTGCGTATGCCAACGTCACTGTGTCGCATTTTGACCACAATCCACATGGACTGGCCTGCTTCACGCATGTGCAAAAATGTGCGCGTACATTGTCGTAACAGGCTGCGCACGTGTGTATATGCGCTTGCGCTTAGCTTCGTTATGCAATCAGCTGACTTGTCCAAACTGTCAATTATACCGTGTTGTGATTTGATGAAAGTATTTACGTTTGATTGTACCTCTATATTATTATTTGCAATTACGAGTTACGTGGCAGTTTGCTTATTATGGAGTAAGTACCGCGTCAGTATTAAATATTTTTTATAAGACGTTGATGATATGTTTTTCTAAAGGCGCGTGGTACAGTTCATTAAATGTAAACAATGTATATAAAATGGGTGAAGTTACTATACTTAACGGTCTACAATAGTTTTCTATCACTTCAAAAGTAGTTGGACGAAAGTAGAAGATAAAAAACAACTTAGTTCACTAATGAAAGAAAACTGTAGACAGACAAGTACCTTTTGGACTCTAAAATAATGATAATATTACCTTTTGATTGTACAAAGTAAACGTTCTGATTGTCAGTAGAATTCGTATCAAGTCTCTGGGTTTGGATGGAATATCTCTAATAGGAAACAGTTCAGGTCGACTCACACTCACTATGCTCCTAGCAAGGGTCAAAATTTTGTCCATACATAAAGCATTAGTGGGGCTTGCCACTTGCGAAGTGGACTGTGATATACTCCATATCTTTCGAAGACTAACTAACTGACTAAAGGTAAAACAAAACGCGACGCGATGTCGCTGCGCTGCTCGCTTGTACCTTTTGCGTTGAAAAGTGTACTATACTGAACAAGACTTACAGCTCGTTATTGAATAGTTCGTTCTGAACCAAAGCGTAGCCGAAGGAGAATGGGTCTAGCATACAAATTACCTATAAAACCTTAAGAATGGAAATCCTAACGATAAAGTCAAGGGTACTTAAAATAACACCAATGTAATGCAGCGCGAAAATCTCTACAGTATAATATTTACAGTGTGATTCGATTAATTTGGAGCTTGAATAATTGTGGCTATTCATTAAATAACAGCAATTATATACGAATTAACAGCTACGATATTGATTATGTACAAAATATAATTGTACTATAGTTATTTTTAATGAGATAAAAATAAAGCATTGGTAGTAAAGTAACTGACATAGCTTTCAATATGGGTAAGCTGAAGCGGCAGTGGGCCGGTTATGTCTGCAGACTGGAGCAGACTTGTTCTGGAGTCGCGACCACGTTAAGAAATTCGCATACATTCGGCTCGCTGTAAAGAGGCACCTCAGGATCCGTTTGTTGATATTACGTGGATGAGCAGGCGCAGGCCTTCAGAATGTGTCTCGGAATAATATTAGGAAACCATCAAGTCAGGAAAGAAGGTGGGCGAACTGCCGTCTTTGTCTTCTCGGTCGCCGTCTTCGGAGCGTAACAGCGGGACGGTCGTCCTCTCTGAGCTGGTCCGAGGCCTTTGTTTTAAATTTATTTATCAGAAAAACACAAACAGTTACATACTAAACAAATAACAAACATTGAACAAGCAAGATTAATAAATAAATATGAACCAAAGACGTGTTCCACAAATGTGTGACAATTAAGATACTAATAAATAAATATGAACCAAAGACGTGTTCCACAAATGTGTGACAATTAAGATACTATGACTCGCGTGACACATTCGCCTAGTTTTATGGAATTATATTTGAAAAATTTTGTTTACACATATAGGGAGAAATAAAATAAAATAAATAAAATATAAAAATTATATGTTATATATAGCCACATACTTACATAATATTCATATATACATATACTCATACATACATATACATAACAATACATATCAAATCAGTTACGATAATAATTATAGATACCATAGAAATTAAAAGGAGCCACTATTCATTATGACATAAACTTCACGCTTATACCTGTACAAAGAGGTACTAAATATATCCACGTCCTGGAAACAATAAGTATAATTGCAACACATCCTATAAATTGGGCAGCGTTTGCCGACATTGGTACGACAAAATGGGTGTGAGAAAAGGACTTTATATCTAGGTGTACGAACGGGTACTTTATATTTAATTTTGGATACCAGCTCAGAACAATCTATATGATTATTTATGATTTTATAGACAAATGTGGTCTCAAGAAGTGCCCTACGCTGTTCAAGACTTAACATACCAAACTCAGACAGCAAGCTTTCATAATCAGTACGGTACCTGAAATATCAGTAGCTAACCATCTTCAGAAATTTCTTCTGTATGTTTTGAAGGGAGTTAATATACAACTTATGAAACGGATTCCATATTAAGATTGCGTATTCCAATATAGGTCGAAATCACGAAATGGCCTCTAATTTTCACATTTTTTCGATTTATCCTCGAAATGCTACAGGTTATTAGGATAAAAATTGAATAATTAATTATATTTATGCATGATCGACAACTGTCACTACGGATTTTTTTTAATCCCTTTAGTTTTAGAGTTTTCCGCTAAAACGAATTAGGTACTTTTAATGCGCAAAATTCAACATCTCCTGTCGCATGTGTCGCGAACTTCAGCCATATATTTGTTTCACAAATTTGGGCGGAGCCAACGTCAAAACTGTTTTGGCATGAGAGCTCTTAATAACTGATCAGTAACACAGGTGGGTGGTGCGCACCCTCCAACGGCGGCGGGGAGCGGACCGGGAGCAGCATGGGCCATCACAGCCACCGACTCGACCCCCGTAGTATTGGCTTGTGCAATACTACGCTCTCACAAAAGGAGACCATCACCTCTTGCTGTCTATAGTTGGCAGCGACAGATCACCTTGCACTATGGCAATCAGGGTGCGCCACTGAGGGCCCCAAGCTAGCGTAAGACGCTCTGCTGCAAGATGGACCTGGGGAAGGTGGCAGCTGCATTGAAACCGGTAGAGTAGGCCTGCTCAGAGGAAGGCATGAGCCTCATCAGACAAATGATTTTGCTGGTTTAGGAATACGATTACTTTTACAACGTCATTTACAATATTAAATTTTCACTGAAGTACACATAGGAAATTATCATCGACCTGGTAAAATTGAGATTTACATTCTTTCATGAAAAAACGGGACGATTTGTCCTCGGTTCGATTGCCACTGTTTTCGAATCAAGGCCACCTATTGTACGTTAGCTTATTGTATTGTACTTACTGTACTACTGTTGTGTCATTGTCATTTTTAATGTGCCATAAAGTATATTTCATTCATTCATATGTAGTTTAATTGATTAATTAATTATCACTTGCTTTGACTGCGGAGGAAAGCACGTAGAGATTTAGTAGCAGTAGAGCTCATTGTGAAAGAGTTCCTAGGGAAAGTACTGCCAGGTACGAGCTTACTTTCGGTTTTGAAGGGTAAAGGTGCTGGTGGAACTATAGGAGCATGGGACTTGTTAAATTTGTGTCTCAAGATGACGAGTACAGTACTGCCACCGCGCCCATTGTCTGAAAAGTCATGCAGATGGAAGGGAATGAAGTAGGCTCTTATTACACACCCTTCACATAGCGACACGCCTGTGACGATGTGACCTCCCTACATCGTCATCCCACCTTTTTATCGCCTTTTCTCCGCTTCCTGGCCAAATTTTGAATCTTTCTTTAATAATTCCTTCGCCATTCTGATTTTGTTTCGTCCCATCGTCACTCCCTGCTGGAACGCTGCAGCGTACAGTGCTGTTTAAATTTCAATTGCCGTCTAATTTTCATTCCTTTACCAGATTTGTAATAGCTACTGTTAATCATGTGCCAATTTCGATACCAATTTGTAATTCAGTATAACTCGACCCTTTTGGGCCTCTTTTTAAAATAAACTACTGTGGACCTGAAGTTTTCTTATTTTATTACCGTGAACCTGGTCACGGCTCATTAGGGTTTACGACCTTTTCACGCCATACTGCATTTACTTGATTTCGGTCCATAAGTGTGGTTCAAACCAGCCAACAGACTAATAAAAATAAAGAAGAACATAATAATAATAATTTATTGAGCACAGCCTAATTACAAAATAGCTAACTAAAACTAAACAAGGTGCAAAAAATTAGGCTGTAGATTAATTCTAAACTAAATGACCACTGACTTCCCATACTAGAAAGAATGTGCATTGTGGGTGACATTCATCCTCTGTGACAGCTTAAAACCTTGACAAACTTGAAAAGTCTTTGCACTTTAACGTTCTTAGGGGCACTGCAATTGTTGTAGGTAGACGTGTTACTTATCATCAAGCTCATTTCCTTGTTCCGTCACTTGATATCATAAAAAACATGGTGATGTCCAAACCGCATCGGACCAGCATGTTTGAATATATTGTGACGCATCTCCTTACAGAAATGTATTAATGCATCTGCATTAATAAAGTATACCTTTATTTCTTTTTGTAGCTCTATGTTCTACAGTAGGCTGACGCTTGCTGGTAATTTTGATTATAATGTCATTTACAATCAACTCTAGAGTTTTCAACACGGTACTTTTTCCAATGTTGCTATAAAAATTTTAATGTTACACCGTTTGTTTGTTACAGAGGTGACGCAACTGGAGGACCCTCGACTAGAATGGCTCAGCATCCAGGAGGCTATGCTGAGGGACTACCTCCACACCGCGCAGGAGGCTCTCGAGGTAAATACCGTATAATACAGACGGAAGTAAATTAATTTGCGACACTGCGAACCTAGGACGATTAAATCGTGCAAAATAACCGCGATTGTATTGAATACTTTTTTTTTTATGTTACTAACTGATGGATCGAACGAGTCGTGCGCCTGATGGTAAACGACACCCCTGTCCATAACAGTTGCAGTGCCACTCAGGGCTTTAAATCGCAAAGATCTGAGGTGCACTGTCTCTGCGCCCATCACCCTAAGACATAAGTTGAAAAGTCCCATGCGCCTGTAATTTCACCAGCACCCTTATACCCTTCAAAACCGGAACGCATTAATGCTCATATTACTGCTTGGCGGCAGATATAGGTAAGGTTAGGTTAGGCAAGGCAGTAATTCTTTTTTTCATGCAGTTTATTTTGCCACCCTTCCTCCGCATAAAATTAATAACACAAGCACAACACAGTTATAAACAAAATATACTATAATTATTACTATAGTTATTATCAAAAAACGGAATTGGCAATGTATCTTTGCCTAAACTTCTAGTAATACATATATGTACATAGAGGTATAGTACCTCCATCTGAAATTAATTATAAATATGAGGCAGAAAACCAACGTAACTATTGCTACTTAGACATCAGAATTCTAGAAAAAAATACAATAATTTCAGAGGGAGGTTATAATCCACTCAATTTTGTATATTCTTATCTCTGGTTATCATAGATCACTTACACTTTTAAAACAGTATTATTTATTTAGTATTGGTTGTTATAAAGGATATTTTTGAACCGTGTGGCGCAAGTGTAGACTTAAGACGTCAATGTTCGTGATGCCCACATTAGAAAGCCCTCTGAAATTTCAAAACAAGGTGACAATACAATACTAACGTTTTATTCTATTAACAAATAAAAAACGTAATGGATAACAAAAATGTATATTTTTAGACCGGAGAGATAGTTCAGGTTGATTTTTATACCAGCAGATATACAGGGTGGTGGAGTAATTACTGACAAATTTTATAAGAGGCTGTAAGCTATCGCAATAATAATATTTTTTATACGGAATACATTTGTGTTTGCATTTGAAAAATAAAATTTTCTCATACAAAATTGCCTCATTCAAAAAGACTAACATTTTAACTTTGCTTTAAACTATATAAGAACATGTAGTTTTAACAAATATTTACTGTGTTGTAGCAACATAAAGATAACTATTTAATCATATATTATGTGTTCGTATATGTGGAGGCGTATTACTTAATGTTCTGTTACATAATGTAGAAATCAAAATAGCTACAATCACCGAAGATAATAACTGTCTGCTACGCACCAAACAGGTTGTTCTAATAATACAACTTTATGTTAAAAATCTTTGGTGAAGTGGAAATAACATAATAAACAACTAAGTCGACACTTTACAATAAAAATGTGCCAGTACACACACAGTACAAATTTCCTGTACATGAAGTACCAGAGCAACCAATTTAAAAAGGTTCATTTCTCAGGTGGTCCACCGGGAATAGAACACGATACCTCCATAGCTAACGCTCACACTGCCCAAGGAGGACGTCAACTTATAACACTTATGTTTTAGCTTACTTCATTATTTACACTACTATACCTATAAATCATTAAATTTTACGTCTAATTACGTAAATAACTTCTGTTATTATTGGTATAAAGAAAAACACGAAAAACAAATTCCTTCGATCTTACTGGACTCGAACCAGCGGCTTTTGCCTTACCGGAGCCACCACTCTTACCAACTGAGTTGTAGACTGAGTCCGCAGATTAAGAATTTCTCTATGTGCGTGTTGCAGATGATGCTTTATATTGGGTTTAAACGACTTGTTTGTCGTAGCGTCATCTATGAGAATATATAAACGTTTTTTATTCAGCCAAGTACCTTTATGGTTACCAGTGGCTGACGAGAGATGTCGCTATATTAATTGCAATATTTTTTTTATTAAACCAATAAGAAATGGAAAATCGCTACAATCGAAATTCCTAATTATGTATATAATACAACAATTTACACTGTAAAAATAAACGTTGTTGGTTGAAAACAGTAATAGATACATATACATTACTTTAAAATTAGGTACTGTACTGTACTAAATTTAGTATCAGCCTATATAATTAAAACTCCAATATACCGGTCGCTATTCATATCTCGAACGATCATTTAACGATTTAATAAAACAGATTTTATCACTCGATCGAATTAAAACCTTCCGAACTTTGATTGTTGTTGTTTTTTTTAAACTTTTTCTTTTGGTGTGAAGAAGTCTTTTGAATCCAGCTTTAATGACTATAAGTGAAAATGTATTTAGAAGTTTGTTCGTGTCATGTTTGATTGTTACAAGCTTAGATACGGGAGATACAGTGTGTATTGAATAAATTAATGATCATAATACGTGCAAAAGAATTCATATATGAAAAGTTTTTACTAGAGCTCCTTGTGAAAGAATTTGTCCAGGGAAGTACTGTTGTAATGTGAGTATTACTGCGTTTCGGTCTTGAAGGGTGAGTGTGCTGGGGAAATAGGGGAACTTTTCAACTTATGTCTCAGGGTGACGGGTGCACTGGCAGTGCTCCTCAGAACTTTGCGATTTGTAGCTCTGAGTGGCTATGGACAGGCGTGTGGCTTACTACTTACTAGGCGCATGACTTGTTCGTCCCGTCACTTGGTATAAAAAAAATACGACTTTCGGAAACTGTATTTATTAATACGCTGAACATAAATTGTAACCAGAATGGATTCCTCAAAACCATCAGTATACTTAAATCACCAAAATTAATGTGCCAAATATCACAACCACGACATGGTCTCGAATAGTGAATATTAAAATATCTGTGACAGAATTGGACTGGGTTCCAATTCAATGTATTATATACGATCGACATTAAAATGTTCTGAATGGCGTTACGAAACAAAAATATCTACTCATCCAACGTGGACACTTATATCTATACGTTCAGGGCTCTCTAAATATCTGTAGATAAAACATTAATTTTGTTACAATAATTTTAGAGTGTAATTTAGATTGAAATAATAAAATTAAAAATGCCGTACTCCCAGTATAGTATTTTGTCTTGCGTTTGAGGATTCCCTGATCAGTACCTGAGTAACAAAATTAAATTCGGTGCACTACCAAGTACACACAGACTAGCATCAGAGAGGTCAGTGTAAAAAACCTTTTAAGACCTTCTTTTTTTACACAAACCATATCGACAAATCAGTAAATCTAAAATCGAATACCAAACATCGATATTTTTTATCTCGATCGATTTTACCGACTCTCGGCCGGTAGCCAGAATGGCCAGATGGTATCGGTAAAACGATATCGATTTGTTAAAAACTTATTATGGGTAATGTCTATTGAAATGATTTTTTTTTATTCACTTGGAAACTTTTTTGATCACTACAGGGACTGAATCAGAATTACTGACTGTTTCAACTTACGGAGTGTGGGTCATCTCTCCTGTTTTAACACCTTGGCCAAATGCGGATTGTGGACTTCATATGTGACAATAAAAAAGTACAATTTACATTTTCAACTACCTCCGTTTCCGAATGGTTACTATGTCGGACTGCCACGCATAGGAATCCTTGGGGTCGAATCCTGGGGCGAGAGAAATATTTGTATGGCCTACATATATTTCTGCCGTGAGTTTGGCAATTTGTGTTTGTCTATGTGTCCGTATTGTGTTTGTCTATTGCACCCGCGATACAGGCTTTCCCTGATTGATAAAAAAAATACGAAAAGCTTCTGGGATTTAACACTGAGATATCCGTCAGATATTGTAAGAGAAATGAAAACGGCGTAATTAAATTTGAATCGGAAACCAATAAATATCGAGACCTTGATATATTAATTCTTGAACGCAATATCTATTAAAAATTAATAAACACCATAAATATAAATGACAAACACCACAATTGCTAATATATAATTTTTTATATCCCATAAATCGCTTAACATTTGAATAAAATACAAGTTTATTCAAGTTTTTTTTTTAATTAAGCGAAGTGTTACAAGATTTTGTTGATCGATGAATGCTGTCAAAATTTGAATCCCGACATTTGAATCCTCATTATATAGCGGGATTTAACGGACTAATTTCTAATTTTGACGTCATAAATCAATACTTTCGCCGCCTTTTTAGGTCTATCATTGTGTAAGAATTTCTTCGGGGAATGTTTTAAATCCATGATTTACCACCTTGAATTAAAATTCAACTCTATGGCACTTGCTATAAGTCTGTACATACATGTGGCATAACCCAAAACGATCCACGTCTTATGAAGCAAATCACGTCTCATCTATCCGCATTTTGCCACGTGAGAATCCTTATTATCGCACACAACATCTGCATTCGTTTAATCGCAACTATGCCAGCACTTTGTACGTGCAACTTTGTTACATTTTTTTGCAATGAAGTGAACGTGCGTTCTGAAATGTTTTCCGAGAAGCTGCACCTAGTAAGTAAATGTAAAAGAAAATAGGCTCTACATTTTTTAAAAAAGCTATATCGTTTCCTAAGTGAAGCTTTTTAAAGCTTTAAATTTTATTTAATTATAGTCACAAATCACTGCCGTATCATCACTCACCATCAGGTGAGATTGTGATCAAAGGTTTGCCATAGACTTACCAGATTCTTCTTTTGACCTTTTCATAATGCAAACACCTAATAAGAACAAAAAGTGTGACGATACCAAAGATATTGTGCCACCTTTGACCGTCGCACTCCAGTGCCCAATATGATCACCGAAGGCCACTTTGTAGGTTTTTATGCTCTCTGGGATGCTATGTGACCTGTGCCTTTTGTTGGATACACAGTATAGTTAAATACACAGTAGATCAAGAAAAATGAATACTGACAGTGTTATGTATGATTACAACTCCTTTTATCGAGTTTTGGAAATGGAAGTAGTTTTTTCGGCTCTAAATCACGATTTTTTTTTCATACAAATCGTAATACAAATAACTTGTGATCATACGTCAATAGC